TGTTTGTGTATGTGTGTGTGTGTGTGTGTGTGTGTGTGTGTGTGTGTATGTATGCCTGTGCGTGCGTGCGTGCGTGTGTGTGTGTGTGTGTGTGTGTGTGTGTGTGTGTGTGTGTGTGCGTGTTTCTTGTGTAAGCTGAAAGACGCGAAAAATGATTGAAATAGCTATTACTCCAAGGGTTCAGGGGGTCTCGTAGTCGAGTAGTCGCGACTAGAGCTTTCTTACTTGTTGTTATTTTAGCTTCTTTTATATCTTTTGAATTTCATAAAAATGTTTTTTTTCCGTATGATGAAAACCTATTAAGCTTATTTATATGTGGAAATACATACATAAATACATGGCTAACGCATATAAATGCAGCGGGCACTATAAATGCCGTTTGCCACGCCCCTAGTGGCCGTAGAGTCCTCATTTTTGGCCAGTCCTTAGAACGGGCAACCGGTAACCTAAATGCAATTTGAATTCTTACGCTCAAAAAATGTGAAAATTACAGGGTATTTTTCGATATGCCACGCCCCTAAAGAGGCGTTAAAATTATTTTTGGGGCATCGATAGAGGAGGTACCAGTAACTCAACTATCCAAATTTGAAGCTTTTAGCTCTTAACCTGTAGGAGATATAAACTTTTGCGGTTTGCCATGCCCCCTATGGGCGGAAATATATCTACCGTAGCTCGTTGGACTTGGGTGGTCAACCCGCGTAAATATACAAATTTTCAAAAAAAAACAAAAAATATAACAGAATGCCTAAAATATAACAGAATTATTTCACCCATCTTTATAGAATCAAAACATCAGCTTACCTGCAAAATTTCAGAATTCTAGGTTTAAAACTTTAGGATATACAGTTTTATCCGTTTTGCCACGCCCCCAATGGGCGGAGATATATCCGCCATAGCTTGTAATCTTGGACCTACGCGTAATCGCGGACCTACATTCAAAATTTCAGCTTTCTAGCTCTTCAACTAACATGATTTATGGTATATCGGAAACTGCATTTTCCGATTTGCCACGCCCATAGTAGGCGGAACGGGAAAATTTTAACACTTTATGAGTCGGAGATATACACGAGTATGTGCGTTCATACGGACGGACGAACAGACGGACGGACAGCAAGACGGACATTGCACAAAACCAATAAACTCATTTCAATTTCGTGAATGAGTATAAATAGCCACAAGTTTGGCATATTTGCAAAACTACCTAGAATATATCTGGTAGTTGTTCAAGTTTATATAGTACCTTATACTGTAGACTATTAATGCCTTGGGCATAATATATGATAAGCTCATCATTTTTCCGATTTCTATCCAATATTATATTTATACAATAAAAAATATTACTTACTTTTAGTAAGTTTCCTTTGTTTATTTTTAATCTAGCCTGCTATTCGAGCAACTATTTTTAAATATTAGACTATTTTAGTCCATCCCCCTAGCTACGCCCCTGAATCTTCTTATCTCTGGTATATGTGTGTGAAGGGCGTACGTCAGTGCATAATGGTGGGCTCATTGCTGAGCAGCTGCTCGCAGATGTCGACGGCTCGAGTGTAGCAGGACTCGGTGGACATGAAGAGCTCGCCAGCCTGGAGCGTGAGCAGCACGCAATTGCGACCCATGCCCGAGGTGGGCTCGCCCTCCCGCCAGTTGGTGTAGTTGATACTGCGGGCCCGTCCGAAGTAGTTCCAATAGAATTGCAGGTCTCCGGGCCAGCGATGGCCGGCGCTCCAGAAGCGGGTGCCATTCCGGTAGCCACTCGCATAGAGGTGGTCGGCCAGGACGCGCATCTCGGCGTCGCTGTCGAGGCAAACGCGCGACGTACGCTTGTCCTGGTAGCAGAAGTTGCTGAACGAGCTGGCCTGAGGGGCAGCAGACCCAGTTAGCTAGACCTAGAGCGAGCATCTGCAGCTACTCACCAGCGGCTCCTCGTCGGCTATGAAGTAGCAGTAGTCGTTCTGCACCTTCTCGTAGGGCACCTTGCAGCGCATTCCATGCGCCAGCTGCAGTCCCACTAGCATTCCAATGCTCAGCCAGAGAGCCGTCCATCGGCCTCCCAATCTATACCATCTATTTGGCATTGCGGTCTAAAGTGAACTGTAGGCCAACTACCGGGCCTGATAACACAGAAACAGTGCTATCTCTTTCTCACTTATGAGGTGTTTCTCTCTCTCACTTACTCTCTCGTTCTCTAATCAATATATTTGGTATTGCGGTCTAACACTCAGTAGCACTCATTCGCTCTCTCGCGTTCACTCATTCTCTCTTTCTCTATCACACATATTATTTTGTGATATTCCAACTGGAATTTCGTACGACCCACTCGAGTTGATACGGAATGTTAAACATGAGCAAATTATCATTGTATTAAAAAATATCAGAACATTGCTAGCGGGTATTACCGATTCCAGAATACTCATTCAAATCTCTTCCAGATCGCTCCTACCTCTAAACCTGTACAAAATATAGTCTTTTCTTGATTTGCCATGCCCCCGATGGTCTGCTATATAGATGACATATCGTTCTGATCTTGGTTTCTCAAAGTGAGTAAATGCTTCACATTTCAACTAAAATGGTTTCTGAGATACCGTTTCCGATTTGCAACAGCCCTACTAGGCGTATCAGGCATATCAATTTAGAAATTCTAGGATATACACGGGTACATGATTCTAAATATCACGCATTAATACAGACGGACAATAATAAGGAGATTTCACAAAACCAATATACACGTTTTTTTTGAATCGGTATAAAAGATATTTATATGTGTATGTAAATATTGGTTTTGTAAAATCTCCGTATTATTGTCCCAATAGGGCAGCTATATAGCTGCTCATAATTTTCAATGGAAAGAATACTAATAGAAGTGGAAGAGTTATATATAATCGAAATCGGTTCAAATGCACCCTAAAGCGAAAATGGCCAGTTAATTATATACGAGCCGATAAATACCTTGCAAATACAAAAAAAAAAAAATGAGTTAAATTATTCCTAAAAATGAAGGAACTTTACTTGTGCTTCTCTCTGTGCTTTACTCTTAGTATGGTATATTTACAAAAATGATAAAATCTAAAAATATTAATTTCTAATTTACATGGTTATTATTAATGAACTTTTAGGAAATAAGGAGTATGTATAATTTCATAGAATTTATATACAATTTATAAGCAAATGGAACAATAATAAAGGCGCAATATATTTATATGAAGGCCCCATGGAATTAAGTGCTAATCTAAAATGTATACTGTATAAAATGGAATGGAATTTATGTAGAGTTAATATAGCTATTGTTTATATGGATTTTTAATGAATTTAAATTATTCAAATTATATATGGAACTACAAGAGATCTAAGTTTATAGTTTATTTAAAATTTATTTATGTTATGTTTATGTTATTGATAATGAATATAGAATTTATAAAGAATTCATATGATGGAATTCATAAAGAATTCGAGCGGAAGTTTTAATCACCGCTGGCAATGCCAGAATACATATATGCATATATTTTCATATATGTATAAACATATGTGTATACATTTATATAGTGCATGTAAATAAATGAATCGACTCGAGAATTAAGATAATGCCCATGCGAATGAAATGTATAAGACAATAAAATTATTACGGGTAATTTACATATGTATTTAATTAAGAGAATAATTGAAACCTTTAGCCAAAGGCTTTCGTTTTACAAATTTGTTAATGGAAGTTTGGACATCTTATAAAGAAATAGCTTGAAATTCTATTGTCTGTAATTTAAAATGGACCAAATCAGGTAACACTTCATATTTGCCTATTAAACTGTGAGCTGATAAACCTGCTTAAGAATTTCGTATATAAGCAAAAGCCGGTAATATATATAACATATTTTTTAAAATATTTGTATAATACAGTGATAGGAACAAGGACATTTGGTGCGCGATTCTTGCTAAATGGTGCGACGGTGCACAAAAATGATGGCAAATGGCATTAATGACCAAAAAAAGTCAAAAGAGCTATGCATTAATTATTAAAAAATTATTAATAAATATATTTGTTGAAAATTGACCCGGGTGCAAAACTGTAACATTTGACTTTCTTTACATTTTTATTTCTTATAATTATTCCAGCCAACCGAATGATTTCAAATTTTCATGGAAGACAGCTAAATATCATATTAACAAAGTAAAATTAAAATCTTAAACATTCATAGAATATAAGCAAAAATATAGACTCTTGAAGTTGCAACATTGAATTGGTGTTACAGTTTTGCTCGTCATTGTATATACATATTTGTGGTGCAAATAATAAATTTCTTGGTCGATGCTTACAATACTTCAAAGAAGATTTCATACAAATTTAAAAATAATTGTGGCATTCCTTCAAATACAATTATGAATTATCGGTAAACAGAATCCACAGACTTGCTGATTTTCCCCTACTTCCAGAAAACTGTACTACGCTCTATAGCGAGCGTCGGTTGAAAAATGTTTAACACCAGATGGCGCACGTTATTTGGTATTCTCTCGTTTTCTCTTATTCGCTTCCACACTGTTAAAACAAACAGGCGATAACAGAGTGATGTAATGCTGCTGCTATAGTTAACAGAATGAAAATTGGGTCCATGATTTTCGAAATTAAATGTTTATCTTAAATAAAATAAAAACTGCGATAACTACAAGTTTTACAATTATTAATTTGCCGCCTCTCAATTTGATGAGAATAATAATACACATCTTTTTTTTTTGTAAATGGAAAGTGTTAAATTCGTGTTTAACTGCTGCCCGCCAAAGACAAAACAGCTGTTTTAACAGTCTTCTAGCACAGAATTAACATTTTATGTAGATATCTCTGTTAGCTGGGAAATTTTGCATTAACAGGCCTGTTATTCATGATTTTTGTGTTGAAGCGTGTGGATGTTGCGGCCGGTAAATGCTGAACAAAAAACGAGAAAACAGACTAAAGTTTTGTGTGAGTTTGTGTTTAATAATTAGTTAATGTTGTGTGCCAAGTGTTAAAATGCTGTAGCCACTCAGGTGCTGACTATTTTGCTCTTTTTTCGGTTGCGTATGCGGCATCCCTGTTATTTCTCTGCGCTGTTCGCTGTTTTCTCTGCGCGTGTGCTTTGCCATCGCGTTCGCTATCTCGATTGTTTACGAATTTGTGTGCGTGGATAAATGTGCAAAAACTAGCGGAAAAGTACAATATATTGAATGAAAATGTCAATCAAATGCCGTGAAATCACATCAAACGTAGGAAAATTAAATAATAACAACAAAATGGTGCTCGCTTTGCTTGCGCTAGCTGCGCTGCTGCAACTGAACGGCGGCAGCGGCGTCGCAGCGCATCTGAACGTATTTTTGAACCCAGAGGAGGTGATGCGATTGCTTGGTGAGTTCTCTTCCGCAGTTTACCCGTTAAGTCGCGCCCTTTGTTATTGATTTCTCCACCTCAACTACAACAATAACAACAATAGTGCAAAGCAATTGAGCAATTAGTGACGTTCCATTTGTGTCAACCAATTATGCGGCAGCTTTAGTTTTCAACGATTTTCATTCACTGGAAACAAACTGAAATGCTTTTCGAAATTATGTTGATTTGTTTGCTTTGGCTTAATTTTAGACACTCGCTCACTCCCCGGTCTTTCTCTCCCTCGCTCTCTCTCATTCTCCCTCTCCCTCTTTCTCTTATGCTCGAGCGTTCTCTTGCTCAGCTACGCATGCCGCTGCAGGTGTTGTTAAACAGTTAAACAAATAAACAAACAACAAGCAAAAGTAAATGCAAAAGCAAAAGCAACAACAACAAAACGGTTTATGTACATACATAACTTTCAGTTGGTTCGTTAAGAAATTTTACGCTTCGTAAAAAGAAGCATCAACAACAACAACAACAGCTACAACAATTTACAAGCAGCATTAAATTTATTTCACTGCCAGAGAATATTTTTGAATATTTCTGGGAATTGAAATTCCTATACAAAAAGAAAAAAAAAACAGACACACACACATATAAATATATATGCACATACAAGAGACACGCAAACGAGATGACAACGCAAAGGAAGCAACAACAAAATCAAAAGCAACAACAACTGCAACGACTGCTGAAACACTGGAAGGCGAAGGCGATAGCGAAGGCAAAAGCAAAACGTGACTTGGAGCAGCCGCAAACGCATTTGATGCGATAGAGGATAGAGCGAAAGGGAGTGAAAGAGGGGCGAGCAAGAGCGTCTGCCAGAGAGCAGGGCATGCATACGACAGGAGAGGGAAGAAGCAGCAAGAACACAGGCATCTTCGTCAGCTGTGCGTGTGTGTGCTTGGGCTAGTCGTGCTGGTGTGCACAGTGGGCTAGAAGGAACGTATTGAAATTAAAAATGCGTCTGTTATTTAAAGATTTGTTATATAAGCATATATGAAAATATATAAAATATTCTATATAATTCGAGATCTCAGGGTAATCAGGGTTTTCAATCGATATATTAGTTATTTATCTATTATGTGTAAGATAAGCCTGTATATATATCACATTGGCTACTGTATTGTTCAATGTGTTTTGGCATTATGTTCTTGTGTCTGAGCCCACTGTGCGACGCCTGTCGCTTGCTTTGGCATTCGTATTTTTGGCAAGTCAACAACTGCTGCCCGCCCACTGCATGGGCGTCGCCTGTTGTTGCTGCTGCTATTGTTGCTTGGCATGCTGCCTGCTTGTTAAGTTTGCATAGAGTTTTTTTTTCCACTTGCCATGTGTGGGAGCTGCATTTTTTTTTTTTTTTTGCCACTGACGACGACGACGATGACGACGACAACGACGATGCGCATAATTTGCGTATGCATTTTGAATTTTGGGGCGTGAAATCAAATATGCAAAATATCGTATGTTTGGATTTGGATTGGGATTTGGATTTGGATGGCGAACAGTTGGGTGTGGGGTCCATGGCCGCAGTGGGCGCTAGAGTAAGCGCATTCCGTTTTCGCCCATTCGGCCGTTTGGCTGCAGCTTAAGCAACTGGGCGACTAATTAAGACTAAGATGAAAAGTTTGCAGACTGGACAAATGCTCTGCCCCTCTCACTCTTTCTGCCTCTGTTTTCCCCCTCTCTTTTGATATATGCGTGCAATAAAGAGAAGCGCTAAGCCATAA